TTAGTGTGCCCCGTAGCATTTCAGCTCCCGAGGCTGCGTCCTGAGAGCCCTGTGTTCTCCTTTGCCCTGCATTCTCTCCCATTTCGAATCTATCCAGCCCTTGGTTTTGGAATCTACTTTTTTTTTTGGTTGTTTTTGGTCTAATGGAAGTCCCACATGTAAAGAAGAGGTCTTGCATGTATCTGGAAGATTTCTACAGAGTAGCTAGGTAAAATTATAAACCTACGTAATGACATAACGTATCAAACAATGGATCTTTCTTTCCAAAAGCAGAATGGCTGGCCAGTTACTAATGCAGCTGAAAACCAAGAGTGAAAATATTGGAGTGAAAGACAGTCAATATCTGTTTAAATCAGACTGATGGGAAAGGTTTAAGAAATTGCCAAGTAAAATACTCCAGGTTTGTTTTTCCGAAAATAATGATTTTTGTACCTGTGGGGAACTAGTGGTTCAGCAAATGAATACTGGGCTCCTCCACTGTACCCAGCACTGTAAGCGGTAGAAATGGGATGGGCTACAAGAAGATCTAGGAGAGGATCATGGAAAAAGAAAATGAGACACATCAAGCGCTAGGTTATGGAAATTCAGAGAACAATAGAGCGTTGTACTCTGAGATTAGTAGATGGAGGCCATGGAGAGAGACTGAATCTCTAGTAGGATTACCAGTGAAGTTTGTGACAGAGAGCGGCACAGAACAGAAAAATTCTTCCACATCCTCTTCAGTTCTTTGATTCTTCAAGTCTCTTTCAGCTATATCTTTCTTTCCATTTCCATTTTTAATGTCCAAGTTCAAGGCTTTGTTTTCTCAGCTAAGACTCTTACAGTTCCCTCAACATGGTCTCGAGAAACACATACCTCCACCAGAGGCATATTCCCAAAGCAGTGCTTTCATAACACTTAAACCTTTTTGGAGTGGGGGAACCTGCATTTCCTGAGCATCTGACAACACTCACGACCTCTCCATTCTTCATCTTACATTTGTTTGGCCCTCTGAGGTGTAGCCCCGTTAATACATAGAATATCTGAGAGCCAGCCTCAGGCAGGGCAGTGTTGTGAGTTAGCAGGAACACTGGTTGCTGAAGGTTTGCACACACAAAAAAATACCATTTAAAAATTTTTTTCCTACGTCATCTCATTTGTGACCGATGATAGCATACACTGCCTCCTCTTGCATTTTTCATATACCTTGACATCATTTTAACATTCTCTGAAGTTGTTAAAATGACTTCTGGAGTCTGGGGAACATGTTCAGGTGAAAATGGGGCCCAGGTGCAACTACTCTTCCTGATTCTCCTCCTGGCCCCACAGCCCCATCTCCCAGGGCACATTTCTGCAGCCTTCAGGATGTGCTGTGTAATTGAACGGGAAGGAAAGAGGGAAGGAAGGAAGGAAGGAAGGAGAGAGAGAGAAGGAAGGAGTGGGAGGGAATGCCGTGGGAGAATAGAGGAAATTTGGAATAGCTCTATCTGGGGATAGGACCACGCAAAGATTTTACAGACCTGTCAATATTTGAATTGAATTGTGAAGAATGGATAAGAATGAGGTAGAATGATGAGCTTTCTATAAAAATCAGAGCAGCTTGTGAAGAGGCATGCAGTGTTTAGAGAAGAATTAAAAGTTTGATGTGTTTGGAGGATGGGGTAAGTGGTCAGAGGAGGGAAGGGAGTGGGTTGAAGACCATGAGGAGATGGAACCAGACTGGGGTCAGAACGTATGCCGTGTTACAGAGTTGGACTGCGTAGACAGGAACAAAACAGAAAATCCACACCCTGACAGCTGTTGCAAATCTTCTAAAAAGTCCTCCTTTGGTTTGGGAATTTTTTTTAAATGTTTTTATTTTTGAGAGAGCATGAGTAGGGGAGGGCAGAGAGTGGGGGACAGGATCTGAAGCAGGCTCTGTGGTGACAGAAGCACCCAGTACAGGGCTCAAACTAGTTTGGGAATTGTTTTTAATGATAATGTGAAGTAGCACTGGATTGATTAGCAGTGGATGGAGAGCTTCTTTGTGAATCATGTTCAGGAAAAGAAAGGAGTAATGGAATTATTTGTGCTTGTTAACAGTGTTGGGAAATTCAAACTTTCCTGAGTCATGTATGACTTATGAAGTCGATTAAAGCCTTAATCCTTAAAAAAAAAAAAAAAAAAAAAAAAAAAAAAAAAAAAAAAAAAAAAATAAAAAAAAAAAAAAAAAAAAAAAAAAGCCGCATTGAACAGAAGGCCATTCTTATGTTATAAATGATCTTTCATTAGTTGAAGCACCTTATAGGGATGGACAGTAAAGATTTAAAATTGCCACTGAGATTGAGACTGTTAGAGTTTTAATTTCTCTGTAAAGACGCTGGAGTCCATGCATATAAATTTCTATCTCTTTTAAAAGGTATATTTATACGAAATAAAAGTGACTCAAATTCCGGGTTTCATGATAATAGCCTACATTTTTTACCCATTAAACTGACTCCTGAGGCACAACATTTTAAACTATGAGATCATTATATAATTCTCAGTACAGATGCCAAAACTATTCTGCTTCATCCTTAATACCCTTGTACTCATGAGGTAACACTTGTATGTTTGAACATGTGCATCAGAAACACTGGGTATTGGTTTTTAGTCATGAGTCCCATTACTCTTATCTTCTCACCTGTGTCACACCCACACACACACACATTCATAATATTACACACACACACACTCACATCTGCACATATGCATACATTAGTGGGTCAGGCTAATATAAGATAGAATTTATAAGCATACCTCAGAGGTGTGGTAGGTTAGGTTCCAGACTACCACAATAAAGTGAATATTTTGTTTTCCCAGTGCGTATAAAAGTTATGTGTACACTATAATCTATTAAATGTGCAATAACATTGTGTTTAAAAAAAAAACACTGTATGTATTTTAATTTAAAAATACTTTCTTGGGGCGCCTGTGTGGCTCAGTTGGTTAGGCGGCGGACTTCGGCTCAGGTCGTGATCTCTCAGTTCATGAGTTTGTGCCCCGCGTTGTGTTGGACTCTGTGCTGACAGCTCGGAGCCTGGAGCCTGCTTCAGATTCTGTGTCTCCCTCTCTCTGACCCTTCCCTGCTCACGCCATCTCTCTCTCTCTCTCTCTAAGAAATAAATAAAACACATTAAATAAATAAATAAATAAATAAATACATAAATAAATAAATAAATGTTAAAAAAAACACTTTCTTGCTGGGATGCCTGGTTGGCTCAGTCAGTTAAGCATCCAACTTTGGCTCAGGTCATGATCTCACAGTTCGTGGGTTCGAGCCCCACATTGGGCTCTGTCCTGACAACTCAGAGCCTGAAGCCTGCTTCAGATGCTGTGTCTCCCTCTCTCTCTCTCTCCCTCTCTCTCTCTCTCTCTCTCTGTCCCTTCCTTGCTTGTAGTCTGTCTCTCTCAAAAATAAAAAAAATAAACATTAAAAATATTTGTAAAAACTTTCTTGTTAAAAAATGCTGAGCATCATCTGGGCATTCAGAGAGTTATAATCGTTTTTCTGGTGGAGGGCCTTGCCTAGAAGCTGATGGCAGGTGACTGGTCAGGGTGGTGCTTGCTGAAGGTTGGGGTGCCTGTGTCGTGTGGCAGTTGTTTGGGTTTTTTTTAATTTTTTTAAATGTTTTTTATTTATTTCTAGGAGAGAGAGAGAGTGACAGCGTGAGCAGGGGAGGGTCAGAGAGAGAGGGAGTCACAGACTCTGAAACAGGCTCCAGGCTCTGAGCTGGCAGTCAGCACAGAACCCGACGCGGAGCTCGAACCCACGAACCGCGAGATCATGACCTAAGTGAAAGTCAGATGCTTAACCGACTAAGCCACCCAGGCGCCCTGCAGTTTCTTAAAATTAGACAGTGAGGTAGACCCCATCAATTGGCTTTTCCTTTCATGAATGATTTCTCTGTAGCATGTGATGCTGTTTGTTAGCGTTTTACCCACAATAGAACGTCCTTCAAAATTGGAGTCATTCCTCTCAAACCCAGCTGCTTTATTAACAAAGTTGATGTAATATTCTAAACCCTTCGTTGTCATTTCAACAGTCTTCACAGCATCTTCACCAGAGGAGATTTTAGCCTCAAAAAACCACTTTCTTTGCTCACTCATAAGAAGCGACTCCTCTTTTATTAAGGTTTTATCGAGATTGAAGCCATTCAAGTCACATTTTCACGCTCCACTTCTAATTCTAGTTCTCTTGCTCTTACCACAGTTACTTCTTCTCCTGAAGTCTTGAACCCTTCAAGTCATCCATGAGGGTTGAAAACAGCCTCTTCCAAACTTCTGTTAATGTTGATATTTTGACCTCTTCCTATGAATCAGGAATGTTCTTTATTAATTTTTTAAAAATGTTGTATTTACTTATGCAATCTCTACACCCAGCATGAGGCTCTAGCTCACGACCCTGAGATCCAGAGCCGCATGCCCTTACAACTGGGCCAGCCAGGGACCCGGAATCGGGAATGCTCTTGGTGGCATCTAGAATGGTGAATCCTTCCGTAAGGTCTTTAACTTACTTTGCCCAGATCTGTCAGAGGAATTACTATCTATGGAAGCTATAGCCTCCTGCAGTGTATTTTTTAAATAAAGTTTTTGAGTGTGGTTGACACACAATGTTGGATTAGTTTCAGGTATACAACATAGTGATTAACGGGTTTATACCTTATGTTCACCACAGGTGTAGCTACCATCTGTCACCATTCAACGCTACCACAATGTCATTGACTATATTCCGCATGCTGTGCCTTGCATTCCCATGACTTTTTTTTTTTTTTTTTTTTTATGTTTTATTTATTTCTAGGAGAGAGAGAGAGAGACAGTGTGAGCAGGGGAGAGTCAGAGAGAGAGGGAGTCACAGACTGAAACAGGCTCCAGGCTCTGAGCTGGCAGCCAGCACAGAGCCCGACGCGGGGCTCGAACCCACGAACCGCGAGATCATGACCCAAGTGAAAGTCAGACGCTTAACCGACTAAGCCACCCAGGCGCCCCTCCCATGACTTTTAAAAGCCATAGACCACTTCACGAATATCCGTGTTATTGTTGTGCAGGAGCATGCTCATCTTCTCTGTATCATTCCAATTTTAGTATATGTGCTGCCGAAGCATTGTGTTTCTTAAATAATAAAACTTAGGTGCCCAAAATGACTCATCGATCCATGAGCTGCAAAGTGGATATCATGTTGATAGGCATAAAAACAACATTAATCTCGGTAGGCGGCGACGGTCTCCCCGGGGCGGCTCAGGAAGCTAGGAGTCACCCCGCGAAATGTGTGAGGAAAGGTGTGAGGACACCCCGGAAGCCTGAGGTTCAGCGCGGCTGGTGGGGCACACCGAGGCGCATCTGTGCCTTCCTTGCGTGGCCGCCTCCCGCGTCCGGATGCGTTTCCTCCCGGCTGACCGCGGCCTCGCGCTCCCGCGCCCCCCGGCCCTCGCCCGGGGCCCGGGATTGCTGCAGTAGGTGCCCGCTGCCGGCGAGGAGGCCCCCCACCCCCCAGCCTGGCGCCTCCCCCCTCCCCCGCCCCGATGCTTCCCCCTCCCCACCCTGATGCTCTTGCCCCTGACCCAGATGCTCCCCCCACCACCCTGTTGTTCTATCTCCCAGTCGTTCCCTCCCCCCACTGTGCTGCTCCCCTGGCCGGGATGCCCCCCTCATGAATGGAGAAACTGCCCTGGTGCTCTCTCCCCTCCCCCCCTCCCCCCACCCTGATGCTCTCTCGCCCCCAGCCTCGGTCTTCTCCCACTACCCCATGGCCCTCCCCACCTCCGTGCTCTTCTCTGGTCCTGGTATTACCCCCACCTGTCAGGTGCTCCCTCCCTCCCCTCCCCCACTCCCCCCCCCCCTCCCACCTTCCCCCCTCCCCTCCGCGCCGTGCTCACCCCTCCCCTTCCCCACTGCTGCTGATCCTAGAGAGGCCACAGGCCACAACCGTGTGCAGACTGCGTGCAGGAGGGCTTTGGCACTTAGCACACGTGTGGCCCAGGGTGGTGGTGGCCGTGTGCAGAGGGCCCGTGTTCCGGCCAGGCTGTGCCAACCAGGGAAGAGGCCTGGTCGCTTTCCCACTAGTTGTCCTTTTTCTAGAGTCCACTTACACGTATTTTAGTTTTTCTCATCTCACTTAATCTAATGTCTTCAGGATCCATCCACGTTGTTGCACATGGTGGGACTTCTCTCCTTTGTTTCTGCGGACAATGCTCTGGTGTGATACACACACACACACACACACACGATTTCTTTATCCATCTCGTGGTGGACACTTCAGTGCTTTCCATGTCTGGGCTCCTGTAGATAATGCTGCTGTGAACATGGGGTGAAGACATCTTTTTAAGTTCGTGTTTTTGTTACCTTTGCACACACACACTTGACCCTTGAATTGTGCCGGTCCTCTTACCTACAGATGAGTTTTCCATCGATACTCCTCGGTACTGCGCATGTCTTCCTTCCTTCCTTTCTCTGGCGGACTTTGTTGTTAGAACGCAGTATGTGATACGTGTAACATACAGGGTGTCTGCTAACGGCAGTTCACGTTACCTCTAAGGCTCTGGTCAGTAGTAGGTCTTAGCACTAAAGTGTTTCGGGAGTTGAAAGTTATAAACAGATTTTCAACTGAATATGGGGGTGTTGGTGGTTGTACCCCCATGTTCAAGGGTCAACTGTGTTCTCACAAGTGGAAGTGCTGGATCATATGGTAGTTTAAGTCTTGGAGGATCCTCTGAACTTTTCCAGTCCGCAGTCCCATCAGCAGTGCACGAGGGTCCTGTCTTCCATCCCCGACAGCGTTTGTTACCTCTTTTTGACGATGGCCATGCTACTGGGCGCAAGGTGGCATCTCCTTGTGGTTTTGCTGTGCATTTCCCTAATGACTGGAGATAGAAAGCATCCCTGTACCTGTTGGCCTTTCACATGTTCGGCTGTTTCCTTGCTGAGCTGTAGGAGTTCTTTATATGTGTGGATACTAAGCCCTTATCAGGCATGTGGTTTGCGATTTTTCTCCTTTGATTCTTTGAATTTATTGTTGCTCTTTTGCTGTGCAGAAGTGTGATGTAGCCCCACCTGGTGATTTTTTACTTTCTTGCTTGTGCTTTAGGTGTTACAGCCAAGAGTCCTCACCAAGACCACATCACGGAGCTTCATTACTGTGCATTCTTCTAAGAATTTCATGATTTCAGGTCTTACACTTAAGTCTTTAACCCATTTTGAGTTAGTTTTGGTGACTAGTGTAGGATCAGGGTCCAGTTTCATTTCTTTACATATGAATATACAGGCACCCCAGCACCATTTATTGAAAAGACTATCTTATCTGCCCTGAATAGTCTTTAAAGAAGAGGGAGAACTCCTTTTTAGACAACCTCCACTGCTACCTCTAGACATAAGGAAGAAGGTCCCCACCCCACCGCCACTGGAGAATTGACTGATAGGATCTTGCATCTGTGGAATTCTCTGGAATAAAAGTAATTAAAAGGCAAAAAAAAAAAAAAAACCACACAACATTAATCTTGTACATCTCCATCAGATTTCTTGGGTGACCGGGTGCGTTGTCAGTGAGCAGTAATATTCCAAAAGGAATCTTTTTCTTCTGATCAGTGAGTCTTAACAGTGGGCTTAAAAATTCAGTGAATCATGTTGCAAACGAATGTGCTGTCATCCAGGGTTTGTTGTTCAATTGGCAGAGCACAGGCAAAGTAGGTTTAGCATAATTCTTTAGTGTCCTAGGATTTTAGAAATGGTCAATGAGAATTGGCTTCAACCTCAAATCACCAGCTGCAGTGGCCCTTATAACATAGGAGTCAGCCTGTGTTTTTGAAGACAGGCATTGGCTTCTCCTAGCTATGAAAGTCCTAGGTGGCATCTTCTAATATAAAGCCACTTTGCTACATTGAAAATCTATTTTTTAGTATAACCACCTTCCTGAAATACCTTAGCTAGATCTTCTGCGTAACCTGCCTCTACATAAATGCTTCGCCTTGTACTTAGATGTTATGGAGATGGCTTCTTTCCTAAACCTCATGAACCAGCCCCTGCTAACTTCCAACTTTTCTTCTGCAACTTCCTCACCTCTCTCAACCTTCATAGGTTTAAAAAAAGTCAGGGCCTTGGTATGGATTAGGCTTTGGCTTAAGGGAATGTTGAATGTTGGGCTGGTTTGACCTTCTATCCAGACCGCTGAAACTTTCTCCATATCAGCAATAAGGCTGTTTTGCTTTCTTATCATTTGTGTGTTCTCTGGAGTAAACTTTGAATTTCCTTCAAGAACATTTTGAATTTCCTTCAGGAAATTTTCCTTTGTATTTGCAACTTGGCCAACTGTTTGGTGTAAGAGGTGTGGCCTGTCTGGGCTTTCAACATGCCTTCCTCGCTGAGCTTAACCGTTTCTAGCTTTTGATATATAAAGAGATGTGCAACTCTTCTCTTCCCTTCCCTTGAACACTTAAAGTCCACGGTAGGGATTTTTTGGCCTAGTTTCAATCTGTGTCCCAGGAATAGGGAGGCCTCAAGCAGAGGGAGAGAGGTGGGGGAATGGCCAGTTGATAGAGCAGTCAGAACCCACACATTTATGGGTCAAGTTTGTCATCTTATATTGGTGTGGTTTGTGGCACCCCAAAAGAAGTATGGTAGTAACATCAAAGATCATTGATCACAGATCACCATAGCAAAAGTTTTAAATATCATGAGAATTACCAAAATGTGACACAGAGATTAGGTGAGAAAATGCTTTTGGAAAAATGGTGCTGATGGACATGTTGGACATAGAGTTGCCACAACCTTCCATTTAAAAAAAAAATTTTATAGTTTTTATTTATTTTTGAAACAGAGAGAGACAGAGCATGAGCGGGGGAGGGGCAGAGAGAGAGAGGGAGACCCCGAATCTGAAACAGGCTCCAGGCTCTGAGCTGCCTGCACAGAACCCGATGTGGAGTCGAACCCACAAACTGTGAGATCATGACCTGAGCCGAAGTCGGACGTTTAACCGACTGAGCCACCCAGGTGCCCCACAACCTTCCATTTTTAAGAAAGCAGTATTGCAAAGCATAGTAGAGTGAGGTACAGTAAAACATGCTATGCGTGTGTTCACTGTGCTTGCTAGCAAATACTAGGAAACACCCTGCCACACTGTCCTTTTTATTCTCCATTACCTGGAATGAATCAGGTGTACCCCTCTTTGAAGCCAGAGTCCTATAATACATTTAAAGCATGTCTTTAGCCACAGTTCTAAGATTTTGCTGTCCTCTGTCTGGTTTCTCTGAGTCAATGCTTAAGAAAGCATGAATGTATTAACATCCACAGTAATAATCGGCCACCTAACCTGGCTACCCTCTAGGCAGAAATAAAAAGGGAGAAAAAACCAGTTCGATGAGGCATTTGGGAGTTACTGTTTTACAAGTGGCAATTTTATTTGTCCTCTATAAATTACCCTCTCTTGTGTCAAACTGCATCAGATTTCATCATCACTATAAATACCTGCAATCTAGTATGCTACTAGAAAGACATAAACCAAATGTCATTATAATGGTAAAACAAATGATAACAGAATGTTTATAAAATTGTTTTCTTTAAGAGAAAGCATATATTTTTAAAGTTTATTTATCTTGAGAGAGAAAGAGAGAGAGAATGCAATCAGAAATAGAGGAGAGGCAGAGAGGAAGAAGGAGAGAAAATCCCAAGCAGGGGCAAAGCCCAACAGCGGGCTTGAACCCACAGTAAAATCATGATCTGAGCTGAAATCAAGAGTCAGATGCTTAACTGAGTGAGCCACCCAGGTGCCGCAAGGAAAAGCATATTTAAATCTTTTAAAAAATTTATTTTAATGTTTTTCATTTTTGGGAAAGAGACAGAGTGTGAGTGAGGGAGAGGCAGAGAGTGAGGGAGACACAGAATCTGAAGCAGGCTCCAGGCTCTGAGCTGTCAGCACAGAGCTGGATACAGGGCTCGAACTCGTAAACCAGGAGATCATGACCTGAGCTAAAGTCAGACACTTACCCAACTAAGCCACCCAGGTGCCCCAAGAAAAAGCATATTTATAATTGTCTTTAATCATTACCTTTCCTGATGAATTTTTTCACATTAGCATGATTTATTTGAACAAAACAGGTTTCCTGGATGTTACTAT